TGGTTGCCGCATAAATCCCAGAGAAAGAGCCGCACAGGGCTGTCACCATAAGAAACCCAAAGCAGCCGCAGGCCCTTGGAAGGTCTGGCTGCGGCAGGAGGTCCCCGAGGAAGGCTCTGGAATCCCGGCCCTCCCCACGGGGTGGGGGCGCCGGCAGGGCCCAGACTCTGTAGGGGGGGTGGTTGGCTTTGATTGTCCCGATACAAAACACAGACTGGTATTGAATTCAGCGCCATCCTGATTGCGGGCCCTGCTCTGGCTCTAGTTAAGACAACTCCCTGCAAGGTCCCGGCTACCAATTCATTAAAAATGGTCCCCCAAAGACAAACACTACAGTCTAAAAAAGACAGAGAGATGTGTGTGAGAGAGGGAACATTCAGAGGCATGGGCAGTCATCTTCAGAACCCAGAGATTCTTTTTAAGGACAAGAGAGAGAGCAGCAAAAGGACACGAAGCCACCCCAGGCAGGTTCTGTGAAACGCCCCGCACTCTCTCCCTCCTTTCGGACCCTGGGAATGTCCACGTTCAAATAAACAAGCCGCCGAGCGAGGGAGCTCAGCGCTTTTCTTGCTGCCGATAAAGCGAACGTTTAGACTGCGAGGAAGGCGAGATTGATTTACGAATCTGAACGCGCCGGTTTTATGGCCGATCACAAATCCGTCAGCGCTCAGCTCACGCTGGGAAACTTCCCAACGGGGTTTTCCAGCCGACCCCCTCCTCAGCCGCCTCTTTCCTGGGAGGCCCACCAGCGCCGGTGCTGGGGTCACCTCTGCCCAGGCCGGCAGGCAGGTGGCAAGCTCAGGAAGCCAGGGAGGTGGGCCCAGGAAACCGGGGGGAAGACAGGTCACAGGATGGAGAGGCCCATCTCCTGGGGTGGCTGTGGAACTGTAGGAGTATGCTCAGGCAGCCCTCAGCACTCAAAAAGCTTGGGGTTTCGGAATGAGGGAATGGAAAGATCTTAAGTGTGGCCCTTGGGGGACAGGGTGAAACCCCTGTGAACCCCAAACTTCCCCTTCTGTTGTCTCTCTCCTGCTTCCTTCTGCTGAACCCCTAATCCGCACGTCCCAGGCGGCAGTTTGTAAAGTCCCAGCAACTGGGTCCTTTGCTCCTTGGGCCTGCGGGGGCCCACGACTGGTTATCGGCCTTTCTCAGGAAGGAGGAGGCACCTTCCCCAGGCCCCAGTATTTCAGGAATGAGCCAGTTTGCTTTTCTGTTTACCCCTTTCTCACCTCAGGCCTCCAGCCCCTGTATTTATGCCACCCAGGGACAAAATAGAAGCTTCCCATCTCTCCAGTTATTTCTTGCCTGAGTCCAGGGTCCAACTTACAAGACATAATTTATGAAATGCAAACCAGCCCCGCACACACCTCCCAGCAAGGTTCTGTCTCTCCTCTTCTTAACTCAAGGGGAGCAATTCCTCTTCCCAGCCAGAACCAGCCTCTCCCCCTGCTCCTGAGAAGATGCCCTGCTGCTGTGGATTTTTCAGATGCAGCAAACAGAATACAAATTTGGGAAGGCTCTCCATGCGGGGGTCCCCCTCTCAGCAGATCTCGCGCCCATCTCTTGACATTAAAAGTTTGCGCAAACTTTGGCCCACGTAGCAGAGCTGGCCCTGGGAGGGGGTCAGAGAACCCTACACCGTATCCCGTCCCATTTCTCTTGCTGCTGGGGAGAAGGTGAGGTGCCTCCCGCACTCTGAGCGGCTGGGGTAGGTCTGTCTGGGAGCAGAGGAAGGGGATAACGATGATAATAGAAATAACTTCCTAAACAAGGGAATTTCAGACACTGAGTGGAGCGTCTGTGGCTTTGGATATGGGACAGGGAGGATAGCAAAGGATTATTCCCTCATGGCGGGAGCCAACTCCTTACAACAGAACCAAGCGTTTGTTCCTCTGGCCCTCTGGAGCCCTGTGGACTGAGCCTGTCCAACTCTCAACATGGTATCCATGCTGCTTTCTCTTTCTTCCGGAGCTCCCTCCAAGGGAACCTAGGAAGGAGGCATGACTGAGCACAGAGGGGGCAGGGGCTGCAGCCTGGCCAAGGGAAGGGACTGTGCACCACAGACCAGCACCCTACCACCCCACACTACTAGCACGCTAACATCCAGGTATTAGACACCCGGACTAGCTCCTTTATTCCTTTTCTCCTTGATGGACAGTTATGGAGAAGTAATCCAGGAGTTCCAGGCTACCAAGGAAAGAAGGCTGGGGGCAGGAGGGGATGGGGAAGATGGAGCACAGGACAGCTCAGGGACTCCTCCCTGCGGAGGTGCGACTTTCCCTCCTGGGCAGCAGGCAGGAGCCAGCACAATGTCCAGTCTCACAGAGGTCAAGGGGCTTCCGAGGTCATTTTGTGGTTCTAATACTGAGCTAATCGCCTAGAAAACGTGGCCTCTCCATGAACTCTCTCCCTCTCTCTCTCTCTCTCTCTCTCTCTCTCTCTCTCACTCTCGCTCTCTCTCTCTCTGTCTCTCCTGCCAGCCTCCTGCCTCCAAACCCTAAGAGAGGCCTCAGGGAAAAAGGCCAGCACTTCAGGTCTGAGGCAGAGCCCAGGGACGCCCCGGCCTGCAAAGCCAGGCCCAGAGAAGGAACGACCTCCCAAGCAGGGAGAGCAGGAAGGGACCCAACCGGACGGCGCCTCCGGGAAAGGGGCCCAGCACAGCGCAAGGCCGCGTCAGCTTGCGCAGCCCGCGCCCGGAGCCCGCTTCGCAGTGTTCACAGGGGCACAAGCTTGTCTCGGAGCTCAAGCTCCACACGAGAAGGAAAGCGAACGCATCCACTTATACCCGTTCCAAGGCTGGGGCTTTGCATCCAAGAACTGGGCTCCATTTTCCCGGGAGGCGGCAGTGACGTCTGGCTGTAAACAGGCAGAGGGGACGCAGTCTCCCCAGTGCAGACAAGCAGGACCCCAGGAATGCACCGAGCACACATGCACCTCACAAGGCACATGTAGTCACCCACACCGGCGGGCTCTCCCGCACAGCCTGCCTTTCCCCAAACAGAACGGCGCTTTGCCTCGCGGCCACCTCCCAAACAGCCCCATCTGGGGTTTTTCAAGGGGCCCCGGACACCTCCATCCCGACCAGTTCAAACGCTCTCCAGGTGTCAGACTCCGGCCACCTCTGACCCAAACATCAGTCACCATAAAAGCAGCAAATCTGACCAACTGTCCACCATAAAAACCCCTCAAAGTTAGTTGAAAAAGGAAAAAAGAGGAGGCGAGAGAGTGTTTCTTCTGTCACTTGTGAAAAGAGCTCATAAAACGATCAAAAAAAAAAAAAGCCAGCCCAGGCCGGGGCTTTGTTACCTTTGCGCCTCACGCCTCCTCTTGCCCCGAGCTCCGCCGGTCCCATTCATGACGAGCGGCTTCTTCCAAACTGAGAGAAAAAACTTCTCAACTTTAGGGTTCCAAATTTTTTCCCCCTCGCAGATCCGGGAGAGACGGCTAACACTTTTTTCCCCCAACAGCCGGTCTGCGGAGATTTGCTGTTGAATAATAACAAAGGAGAGAGGGTACGTATTTAAAGAAAAGAAGTGATTAATGGTTTTCTGTATAATTCTCACATTTTTCTTAGCTCTTGTCTACACAGAATGGCTGTGAACTTTAAGCTCCATAGAAATCTTTTTTTTTTTTTTAAATTCTATTCATACCTTCCAAGGAGCAGCTTTGATTTAGTTCTTTAGAGACATTCCTGGGGGGTGTATGCTTTTTAAGAACTATTTTCCCCCTCAACTGAGGGCCAGTCGCATCCCTTTGCAGCTAAAACATCATACCGCGACGCCAATGAAACAAAACTCACCCCTCAGCCTCCTCTAGGCCCGGGTGATTTTTTTTTTTTTATAAATCTCCAGGCTGTCTATAAACCGACAATTCAACCACCCTTTCCCGCGCGCCGGGGACACCAGGCCTGTCCTTTGCCTGGCCCTACTCAGCCTCCAATCACCATTGCTACAACCACAGAAATGGAAAAGAAATAACAATAAACCATGTGCATGAGACTGGCTCTTTTTATTTTCTCAAAGACGGGACAAAAAAACCCCCCAAACACCACTTTTAATTGCAATGCTCTCAGAGCACCAAGCTTTTTGACAGTGGCGGTGGGATGGCAGAGTCACCCTGTACCACCACCCACCACGGGACCTGAGACCACAGGCTCCAGCCTGACCTCTGGACATCTCAGTAAGTGGCCCAAGCCAGACCAAGCTTTCTGAGGGTCACCTGCACCCCTTCCCCTTCCCCCACTCCTTTCTTGGGTGACTGGGACCTCAGAGACAAAAAGCTATTTGGCCCCCAGTCGTACTTTCCATACTTTCTATGAGAAAGAAAATGAAAATTAATACAGGAGCAGGGCTTCACAAAAGAGGCCATTTGTCTTCTTGATTATCTATTTGCTTGTCAGAGTTTGAGCTATGGCACTGGCTAGCTCTTTTGTAATATAAAAATACTCTGAAAACCTGCAAACACCCAGAAACATCTGTGCAAAAAATTAGACTCATTAAAGCCTTAAACACCTCAGAGGAAAGCGGTACCTTCTTAGGCAGGGAGGAAAGAGGCCAGCCTCGTAGAATCTTCTCTCTCGAAACTTTAATAACCAAAGAGCTGTCTGTCTAGGAGGAGACAGCTTAACCGCATTTTATTTGCTTATGACAAATAAATCACAATATGAAAGGCTTTGCCATACTTAAACCTCTTGTGCCCTACAATGAAACATTTTCCCCCCATTAGGGACTGGGATCAGCCCTCCCAGTCCTTCCCATCCATTTTTGGATGGGAGGGGGAAAAAATTAAAAGCCCCAAACAAAACACACCCATCCCAAAAGGGAAATAAACCAGCTACCACAACTTGGAATCCTCTGAGACAGAAATTCCCTTTGGATCCCTGGGCAGGAAGGATATTCCACCACATAGACTGTCAAGCCAAGCCCACCAGGACGCTTAACACACACACGGGGTGGCATCTGTCCACATTTTACATCGAGGTTCCAACAAAAACACGGAGGTGATGATGGTCACAAGAAACCAAACATTTATTTCTATTGTCACTCTGTACAGGACACAAATTTTCACGCAACGAAAGGTTCTAGACTCAGGTGTCCCTCCCACTCAGAGAGGAAGGCACCTGGCTTGGAATGTCAGAAAGAACAGGCGAGAGGACACACATGACATAAAATAATAGTAATAATAATATTAATAATAATAATAATAATAAACAACGTAACAATGATAAACTATGGGAGAGGACCCTCACATCGGCCTCCCTGAGCCCCAGGGCCACATTTTATTTCCTAGTTTCACATTCATGTTCAGTCTAAGAGAGAAGTCTCTGCTATACAACTCCGGATTGGCCAGGGGGTCATGCCCAGCCCCACCCCAAGCTGGCCCCTCACCCTGCCAAGCATGGGTCTGGGTCACTCTTTTGATCCTTGGACTCAGTTTCCCTGCCCTGCCGGACACTGCGCTGTCAAGGTCGCCCCCCTCCCACTTGTCCTCATCCTTCTGTCCCCCTCCACCCCCACGGTAGAAGGGGTGAGCAGTCAGTGGTCCCCTGTGGACTGGCAAGGAGGAAGAGCCACTGTGCGTGTGTGTGTGGGTGTGTGTGTGGGTGTGTGTGTTACCGTGGCCACAACACGGTGCTATCTGGCAGTCACAGGGTGCTTTCGCTGGGTGTCAGGAGGGGGACAAAGGAAGACAATCCAGGCTGTCTTCCAGCAGCGCCAGCAGCAGAGGCGGCCTGGCCGGGCCTCATTTGTTAGCGAGTGTCGAGGTAATGGTCGCCGCCGAGGCCGTCCTCTCCTCTCTCCTCGGCAGAGTAAACAAGACAGATGGGCCGGGCCTGGCGTGATTAAAGATGAAACGTGGATCCATCTTCGCCGAAGCTGAAAACGAGGAGCCGCAGCCTCCTCCTATTTCTCTTTCTGTCTTGTTCTTTCTTCCTTCTCCCTTTTTCTTTTCTTTTTTTAAAGGAAGAAAGCAAGAGACTGGATCTTGCTGGGGGAGAGCGCCTCCTCGCCTGGCTCCCTATTGTCATTTTTATAAATAAAGCTCCCCTACCCCTCCTTCTCTGCGTTTATTCATAGATAGATGGAGGGCAGGTCGCCTGTTGGGGCCCAGGCCCGGGCCCCCTCCCGCACCCCCTGTGCCCCGTCCGCGCTCGCTGACCTCCCCCGCCCCTCAGGTCCGCGCCTCCAGCTTGGGGGGCGCACTAGAGCGCGGGGGGACCTCCGCTGGGCCGGCCAGGGGGCCCTCCGGCCGCGCCTGGGGTGCCCCCCGAGCGGATCTTGGTATTGGGCAACTTGTGGTCTTTTTTCCACTTCATGCGCCGGTTCTGGAACCAGATCTTGATCTGGCGCTCGGACAGGCAGAGCGCGTGGGCGATCTCCACCCTCCGGCGCCGCGTCAGGTAGCGGTTGTAGTGAAATTCCTTCTCCAGCTCCAGGACCTGCTGGCGGGTGTAGGCGGTGCGCGAGCGCTTGGGCTCCCCGCCGGCGTAATTGGGGTTTACTGGACACACACAGAGACAGGGAGAAAGAGAAAGTTTTATTGCCCCGAAAGGGAGGAGGCTGAGCCCTTTCTTCCAGCTAACGAGGCGGCGCTGGTGGCGCCCTCCCTCTCCCCCGCCACCTCCACCTCGGGCGTGGAGCAAAACGCGCATGGGGAGCGCAGCCGGCAGGCCAGGAAAAAGAGAGACCTCCAAGTTGGGCAGGGCTGTGCTGTCAACGTGGTTGTTCGGGTGTCTAGTGGAAGCAGCGAGGAATCTTTGCGAGGTTTTCATCGCTCCTAGCTCCCCCTTGGCCTGGGGCCCCCGGGTGGGAGAATGAGGGGTGGGTGAGGGAGGGGTGTTGCCCTAAACCTTTCCCGCTTAGCTCCCACCCTCGCTGGCTGCTCAGACCCAAGCAGAGCCTGCCCCCAGGAACAACTTTTGTACACTTCCCCAGCCGGCCTGGAAGAAGCGGGGATACTGGGAGCTGACTGCAGTCTCTCGCTTAAATACGGATTACTACCTCCTCCTCCTCCTCCGCCTCCCACACACCCCCTCCCCAACTTCCAACTTCCCTGGGACTCCATCTCCCCGGCGAAAAAGTCGCTGGTGAGAATAGAGGAGGATGGAGAACCGACTTCAAAGGCGCAGGGCCCACCAGGCCATAAAAATTTATGGGGGATGTAATTATGTGGCTCTGAAAACAGGCGACCGTAAATCTCCGGCAATGGCGAGTTTATAGCGGGGACAATTGGCTTCCCCCAGCCCCCTCCCCCCATGCCTCCGGGTCCCTCGGTGAAAAGCGCCGGGGGGTGGGAGGGAAAGGGGCGCCCACGCACTCACCCGTGCTCACGTGAACTTTGCGCATCCATGGGTAGACGACGGGCTCTTTGCACGCGGAGTGGGACGGGCTGGGGTGCATGGGGTTCTGGGCGCAGGGAGGCGGCGGGGGGCTGCTGCTGACCGCCTCGCAGCGCTGGCCGGGCTCCGGGAGGAGGGCCCCGGCGGGTGGCGGCGCGGGAGCCCGAGGGGA